AAAAAAAAAAAAAAAAAAAAACAGGGGCACAAAAACAACAAAAAAAAAAAAAATATATTATTTTTTAGGTAAACCAGAGAAAAAAAAACAGCAAGCAAAAGTTGAAGAAAAGACTGATGGAATTACCTTGTAATTTGCATTTCTAAAACAAATACCAGCATGAATGTAAAAATGCAAGTTAGTCTGCAGTTAAAAGAGTGCTTACAGACCTTCACCCTGGACTTTTTGGAAAGGAGAGGTGTCAATTGAAACAATGAAAAGGGTTATAAAACTCCTTGAAGAAGGACATGGAACACGGACTGTGGTAAAAGTTGTTGGTTGTTCCCAGTCAGCTGTGTCTAAATTTTGGTGCAAGTATAGAAAACAGATGAAGAAGCCAAAGAATCAAGAAAACTCAAAGCAATATGCTTGAAAATAGCAAATGCAAAACAGAAAAGAATAGAAAAGCAAATGAGAGGAAACAGAAGTCAGTGTTCGTGCCAGAACTGTAAGAAATGGGATTTATGTATAGAAAAGCCAAACGAAAAAAAGCGCCAACACCTAAAGAGAAGAAAACAAGGTTACAGTGAGCCAAAGAGAAGCAATTATGGAGAACTCTTTAGATCTTGGCATGATGACACCACACACCTCAATAGCAAAGGGAACACCAGACAATAGATATGAGACGGGTCTCTCACTGTATCTCTCAGTCTCTTACTGTCTCTCTGTCTCTCCCAGTCTCTCACTATCTCTCTCAGTCTCTCACTGTCTCTCTCTGTCTCTCACTGTCTCTCTCTGTCTCTCACTGCCTCTCACTGTCTCTCCCAGTCTCTCACTGTTTCTCCCAGTCTCTCTCAGTCTCTCACTATCTCTCTCAGTCTCTCACTGTCTCTCTCTGTCTCTCACTGTCTCTCCCAATCTTTCACTGTCTCTCTGTCTCTCACTGTCTCTCTCTGTTTCTTACTGCTTCTCACTGTCTCTCCCAGTCTCTCACTGTTTCTCCCAGTCTCTCAGTCTCACTGTTTCTCCCAGTCTCTCCCAGTCTCTCACTGTCTCTCTAGTCTCTCACTGTTTCTCCCAGTCTCTCCCAGTCTCTCACTGTTTCTCCCAGTTCCGTCTCTCTGTCTCTCCCAGTCTCTCACTATCTCTCTCAGTCTCTCACGGTCTCTCTCTGTCTCTCACTGTCTCTCTGTCTCTCACTGCCTCTCACTGTCTCTCCCAGTCTCTCACTGTTTCTCCCAGTCTCTCTCAGTCTCTCACTATCTCTCTCAGTCTCTCACTGTCTCTCTCTGTCTCTCACTGTCTCTCCCAATCTTTCACTGTCTCTCTGTCTCTCACTGTCTCTCTCTGTTTCTTACTGCTTCTCACTGTCTCTCCCAGTCTCTCACTGTTTCTCCCAGTCTCTCTCAGTCTCTCACTGTTTCTCCCAGTCTCTCCCAGTCTCTCACTGTCTCTCTCAGTCTCTCACTGTTTCTCCCAGTCTCTCCCAGTCTCTCACTGTCTCTCCCAGTCTCTCACTGTTTCTCCCAGTCTCTCCCAGTCTCTCACTGTCTCTCCCAGTCTCTCACTGTCTCTCCCAGTCTCTCACTGTCTCTTCCTGTCTCTTCCTGTCTCTCTCAGCCTCTCACTGTCTCTCACTGTCTCTCCCAGTCTCTCACTGTCTCCCCCAGTCTCTCACTGCCTCTCACTGTCTATCCCAGTCTCTCCCTGCCTCTCCCAGTCTCTCCCAGTCTTTCACTGCCTCTCCCAGTCTCTCACTGTCTCTTCCACTCTCTCATTGTCTCTCACTGTCTCTCACGGTCTCTCTCAGTCTCTCACTGTCTCTCACGGTCTCTCTCAGTCTCTCACAGTCTCTCACAGTCTCTCACTGCCTCTCACTGTCTCTCACTGTCTCTCGTCTGTCTCTCCCAGTCTCGCACTGCTTCTCCCTGTCTCGAGTCTGTCTCTCCCAGTCTCTCACTGCTTCTCCCAGTCTCTCACTGCCTCTCACTGTCTCTCCCAGTCTTTCCCAGTCTCTCACTGCTTCTCCCAGTCTCTCCCAGTCTCTCCCAGTCTTTCACTGTCTCTGCCAGTCTTTCACTGTCTCTTCCACTCTCTCATTGTCTCTCACTGTCTCTCTCAGTCTCTCACTGTCTGTCATAGTCTCTCACTGCCTCTCACTGTCTCTCCCAGTCTCTCACTGTCTCTACCAGACTCTATCTGTCTCTCTTCTGTCTCTCCCAGTCTCTCACTGCCTCTCCTAGTCTCTCCCAGTCTCTCACTGCTTCTCCCAGTCTCTCCCAGTCTCTCACTGTCTCTCCGAGTCTCTCACTGCCTCTCACTGCCTCTCACTGTCTCTCACTGTCTCTCCCAGTCTCTCACTGCCTCTCCCAGTCTCTCACTGCCTCTCCCAGTCTCTCACTGTCTCTCCCAGTCTCTCACTGTCTCTCCCAGTCTTTCCCAGTTTCTCACTGCTTCTCCCAGTCTCTCCCAGTCTCTCACTGTCTCTCCCAGTCTCTCACTGCCTCTCCCAGTCTCTCCCAGTCTCTCACTGTCTCTAACTGTCTCTCTGTCTCACACTGTCTCTCCCAGTCTCTCTCAGTCTCTCACTGTCTCTCAGTCTCTCAATGTCTCTGCCAGTCTCTCACAGTCACACTCTGCAGCACCATGTTTAAATCTTTAAACCCTGCAGCTCAGTAATAAACATTTATTTTTATGGAACACACCCACACCCACACCCCCCCACACACCCACTCACACCCACACCTATACCCACACACACCCACACCCACACACACACACAGTCCAGGATGTAAGGTATTTACATTTTTCCATACCGTTGGAGAATAATAAGCAGATCTATATAAACATCCTGTTTGAGCTGATCTCAGCCTTGAAAATCAAGGTCCTGCCCTGACCATCCCAGTCCCCGGACCTGAACCCCATAGAAAACCTGTGTGGTGAACTGAAGAGGAGAGTCCACCAGCGTGGACCTCGAAATGTGAAGGATCTGTAGAGGTTCTGTATGGAGGAACGCTCTCACATCCCTCACCGTGTATTCTCCAACCTCATCAGGTATTAGAGGAGAAGACTCAGAACTTTTATCTTGGCAAAGGGAGCTAGCACAAAGTATTGACTAAAAGGGTGAAAATAATTGTTGCACACCTATATTTAACAAAGATTTATTTTGATAAACCCGTGTTTTGCTTGCAATTGTTTGATATCCACGAGAGCAGAATATTTGTATGAATTTTTTAAAGAAAATATAAAATCTTTAACAATATATCACATTTTTCACAGTGTTCTTTGCTCATATTTTCCAAGGGTGCCAATATTAGTGGAGGGCGCTGCATCTTGTATTGTGCTCTACAGATCAGTTTTTGTTCCATGGGGCTAGGACCAGCCTGAGCCGAGATATTGTTTCCGTAAACAGCTGTATGACTAAAATTTGTTGTGCGCCACGACACAAAGATGGCTGTCGTAGTTAAACCAAGAAAATTAAATAAAAACCCTACATGACCTGTTCGTATGGTATCTGAGGCTTAAACCTTCTCCTTCAGTCAGTGTATAATAGCGAGTAAGTCTCACCCTGTCTTGAGATTCTACCATCTGCTAAATTCCAGATAATCGAACTCACCTGATCCAAACGTTCATTGTCCTTTTCTGGGATTCAATCCAACTCCAAAATCCATTCGGCTAACTTTAAAAAACAAACAAACAGGCAGGCGTTCCCTGCAGGAGAAGAAATACCAGCTGGAGTCCACGCAGAGGGTTAGACGTTCACGCTAGGAACCGTAAGAGTGTATGCGACTGTAAAACAAATTACAACCCCCACAAAATTCTTGATAAAAGCACAATGAAGCCGTTATACAGCCTCACAGCATGCGACCAAAACAGCACGTGTGAGCGATGTGAGAGCAGAGTGCATATCCAGGAAGAAAATGGTACATAGAAAAAACCGGGTGAGATCCAGGAGATCAAATTTAAAAAGGAGTTAGAAACAAGTGCGGAAGTGATTTTAATAATAAACAACAAAAAAAAAACCCAAAACAAATAAAGACTGGAATAGAACCCAGAATGAGACATACTAAAACAAAGGACTACAATGAGGTGAGGCAAGGCAAGGCAAGGCAATGCAAACTCAACATGAAAACATGGTGCTTACAATGCAAATACAAAACCACAACAATGGAGCTGACACACAAGGCTTCACAACCAAGGGGCATTAATTAGCAGAATACAGAACAGGTTTGCACAAACATGTAAATTATTATTATTATTATTATTATATTATTATTATTATTATAATCTGACAGTTATGTTTTAAAAGCGTCATGGCCCGGAACACTTGTTTGTGTTTCCGTAGGCTTCCTGTCATCTGGGGCGTTAGCTGGACTGTTAATTATCCGCGGCCGAGCCCAGATTCTTCTCCTTCCAAAAAACTTTTGAAAAACATACTTTTAAATAAAGCGTTTCTAACTGATTAAAAAAATGTGAAAATTGGACAAAAAAGTCAGATTTATTATAAAACTTGCCTCAGGTGTTATCTCTGTTTGCAGGACTACTAGACGGATAAAATATCAAACTTTTCTCTCTATCTAATATGAGACTAGGCTAGTTTGGTGTTGCTAACCAACCTGAGGCACAACTAAGCTATCACTGTATGGGTTTAGCTGCTACAGTGCCCTGCAGAGTACATCACCTTTCCTGATGCTCTGCTCATATCACGTCCACGTAACTTGGAGCTCGTAGAGACATTTACACACCTTGTTTTCCTGCTCAGCATCAGAGGATGTTACTGTTCCACTTTCCGCCGTTTTACTGGTAAAACTAGTTTTAGTAATAATGATCTGACAGGTATAATTATTATTAAATATTATAAATAATGGTACACTTATATAGCGCTTTTATCCATCGCGCTTTACACTGTGTCTCATTCACCCATACATTAACGGTAGCAGAGCTGCCATGCAAGGTGCTAACTTGCCATCGGGAGCAACTTGGGGTTCAGTGTCTTGCCCAAGGACACTTCGGCATATGGAGTCACCCGGGCCGGGAATCGAACCACCAACCCTACGATTAGTGGACGACGCTCTACCACCTGCGCCACGGCCGTTAACATTGGTTAAAATCTCCTCTGACCCAGGAAACCCTGAGATTGAGAACGTATGAGTTAACGACAAAATGGGACGTTAATGTAAGACATTAAAAAAATATCTTCCTCAAATACGTATTTATACGTATAATCACTTCCAGATTAAACAATAAAAGTTCATATATGGCACACAGATGATGCATATTGATTTACATACAGTATTTATAGAACAGGCGCATGAGTCCAGAGCAGGGTTCTGCTGCTGCGCTCCTTCTTCTGCGTTATAAATGCATCTATTGTTATTTTATTTTTATTTCATGATTGTCATGAGTCAGTTTGCAATATGTATTTTCTATAACAGCATGTCTTTTTATGTGGTGAAGGTTACATTTAGCGCTATGGAACATCTACTAGACTTAAAAAAAAAAAAACCCCACACAGCTCGTCAGTGTGAACCGATGCTGTTTTGTCTTTTCTGAAATTCTGTTCACAGCCCGCTGTTATTTATTTTCAATTGATTTCTTTTTTTATTCGCCCCCTCTAGTTATCAAAACTTATTGCTTGTGTAGTGCTGGTTTCTCAGCACAGACCAGACTGAAGCATCCAGTCTATAAAATGTCTGGGTTAAGCATGTAACCCTGTTCCCTGACATGGGAACGAGACGTTGCGTGAGGGTAATTGCATGGAATCCATGTCCAAACTGTAATACCGAATGAATGTGTGTAGTGTAGACCACCCTGCTGCGGCACACACATCCGGTAAGGGTACCATATTTGAGGGTACAAGTCTTTGAGGAGGAGCCCCCCCTAGTGGAATAAACACTTATGCCCAGAGACATAGCGAGACTGTGCACCTCATAAGTGATCGAGATTGCATCCACTATCCAATTCCTCTACTGCTCCAACTTATGCCACTAGCCGTTAAGTACAGAGAGCCCTCACTGGACAAAGTGCAATTTTTCTTGTTCTGGTGTGAGGAATGGAGGAGGGAAGAAAGCCTGCAGCACTAGGCTGGGCAGCTGACGTACGTACTTAAAGAATAAAATCTGGCCTAGGATATAGGAAAGCCTTCACTAATACAGGGGTATTAGTTCTTATTAGTCAAGGCAGGAAGGGGCAACAGAGAGAGGTTGCAGATCTTCTACTGGCTTGAGAGATGTCAGGGCCAGCAGAAGAGCTGCTTTTAGAGTCAGAAGCTTCTCGGCTGGGGAACCTGACAGACCTTCCAGGACTACAGAATGGTCCCAGGAAGGTATGTGTGGTCTGCAGATGGTCCTCAGCTATCTGACTCCATGCATAAACTTCAATGTTAGTGGATGTTGCCCCACAGAAGCTCCAACAATAGAGGCGCGGCTGGCCAAAATGGTGGCCATGTAGACAGTAATTGTAGAAGGAGCCAACCCTGCTATTGCAGAGTTTACTGCGTCTAGCTTACGTTCCTCACACCACGATACAAAAAGTTGCTACTTGAATTCATACAATTTCTCATGGATGGTGCTTTAGCATTTACCATGGTCTCCACAATCTTGGTTAAGAGACCGGAATCTATGAGCTGGTTCCCCTCAGGGGCCAGACTCACAGTTTCCATAGTCCTGGTTGAAGGTGATAAATCAACCCTCTGGCTTGAGACAATAGTTCCATGCGAATGAGAATTTCCCAAGAAGTGCCGTCCAGCAGGGATATTATCTCTGAGAACCATATTCAAACTTTCTTGTGGATGGAGCCTCTAATCCTGCCTCGACAGGATGTCTGTTCCCACATTCCGGTTTCCCGGAATTTACATTGCACCCACTGACAAAAACTTTCCCTCTGCCCAGAGAAGAATTGCTTGAGCCTGCCTGAACAGGGGGCTCAAACGTAACCCTTCCTAGTGGTTGATATATGAGACCATCACAGTATTGTCTGTCATACCTAATACATGGTGACCTCTCAAATAAGGAAGAAAGAATTTCAGGGCTAGGAATATAGCCCACATTTATATGCCACTCCAGATAAGTGCTGCTCGAAACCAAGGACACCTTCAAGTTCTCAGAGCACTTAAGCATTACTGCGTGACACTAATTTCTCTCAGGGGTTTTGTCCTCAGATGAAACCCCCAACTTTACACCCACCACTGAAACGGTCTCATGTGCAATAGGCCCAATGGTATGACGTTGGCTGCTGCTGCCATAAGCCCCAACAGTCTCTCATTGAGATTTGATGGGGTGAACCTGAGCCCTGATGTTTATTGCTATTTTGCCTCCCGAAACCTTTAGACAATCTGAGGTTAACCGTGCTGCCAAACAGACCAGAAGGTGTAACAGGGGCATTTTTTGGTATTGGAAAGGCTTGATTTGTGCTTTTCGCAGAAAAGTACTCGACACGAATTGTTTTTTGCCGTGATGTTTGTTGGTAAACGAGACCTTGCAGCTGTACCCGTGTTTCGACGCACGTGAATCAAAGACAGCTTCGGCTCTATGCGCGTTGTGATGTCGTTGCATGACGCATCTCGGCCCGAATCTGCGGAAAATGGTGGTCGTTTTAGAAAAAATTGCGAGCTCCTCTGAATATTGCAGAACGTCCTTGATTTTGCGTTCATTTCCGCGATCGCGAAATCGCTAAATCCAGGAGGTGCTGGTTAGTGGTAACCTACACGGAGTACATAAAGACTATCAAAGAGTAAATAATGTGTATTAATACTGCAAGTCCTGATACTAATGAACAGACGGAGTTAACAGGATGGTAATGTTTAACTGTTATGGCTTCATCATTGAGTACGCATCAGCTGTGTGATTATATATTACATATATTAAACACCGAGAAACAGCAGAAGTGAGGACGGTGGCAGAGAAAATTGAGGGGACATAAATAAAGGAGAAGGAAGCGGTAGGTGGCGAACAGTGATGGATGGAGAGAGGTGTGTGAACGTGAGAGATGGGAGAAGGGAGAAATTTATAAAAGATAAGAGTGCCTGCCTGAAAAAATTCCACGTCTGTGTCTGCTACGTGTGCTCTTAGATAAAGTGTGTATGTGTCTGTGTGTGTGTGTGTGTGCCAAATATCAATGTCCCTCCGCATGCAACCTGCAGCCCTCTGGCTATATCTTTCCTTTCCAGAGTCAAGGTCATGTAGAGGAATCACTGGATCGTTGCTCCCCCCCCTCCCCCTACCCACAATGCTGTTCTGCTTCTCGTGTTCTTATTAAAACACCGCCGCAGTGTTCTCTTGGCTGAAACGCCGCTGCTTCCAGCGCTGCCGTTATTGTGCTTGACCTAACACCCGCTGCTGCTTCATAAGCCATCGATAGCGTCTGATAGCATCAGAGAGCATGCTGAGATGAGTGTAGGGCTTTACGGACATACACACACACACACACACACACACACACACACACTAGGGCTGAGGAGTCAGTCTGGATCATTTCAGATGCGTTCATCGGCCCAGACGTCCTTACAAACGTCCTCAAATTTCTCCAATGTAGAAAAATACAATTACATTTTATTTCTTGTGACTAAAGAGGCAAGATCATCTTTTCATAGTTTAATATTACACAACGATGTGTGTATCAGCCCAAAAGTCTTGTACAGTGGACCTCAAATGTTCTCTGAGCTTATATCCAATAAAGATGGATGAATCAGCTCAAATCTAGAACCTTTACGGGTGCTTTGATTGTCAGTCTGAGGAAACTTTAAGGTTCTATATACAAAGGAATTATACTATAGAGAGTTTCTCCATCCAAGACGGTTTCAACCTAGTAGCTTTTTTTTATGAATTATTTAGGAACCTTTAAATATCCAAGAAACCCATGGAAGAGCCTATTTAGGTTCTACAATAAATGTCAGCAGATCTGAAATTCACTATGATCCGATGACATACTGTACATTTGCCAGTTTGCAGAAATCCTCAGTGACAGCGATTTTAATTGGATTCCATGCTAATAAAGATAAACCCTAGACAGAATGAAACTAGAACCTGGTTAGTTAAAACCCTTAACTATTCAAAGAACCCACTGAGGAACCTTAATTCTATAATGGCTTCTTTACGAATTTATATGCATGTACAACCTTCTACCACATTGCCAAAGAATAAAAATGACTCACGGTCAATATGATAATTATCACTGCAACAAATGAAGCTAATATTAATGGAAGGAGATTCAGTCCTGACCTCTGACTGGCCCTAGGAAGTGTGCACTTCATGGATAAGGGCTTATTACGATTCTCAGTATGTGCTCTTTTAAGAACAGTGATCATTAGAATAAGGTCCTGCCTGCACAGACAGACATGATAAAGACGGAGACGGAGTTAAAGACGCTGTGTGGAGGACACGAGTCAGACGGCCACCAAGGGCCCTGGAAAGTATTAAAAGCAGGTTTAGACAGCGTGAATGGTTGTGGGAGGAACAGAGGAGCGACTCTGCCTCAGGGAGCCACTGCAGGATCACACGTCCATCCCATTAGATTAACTACAAAGTGAAAAACGAGAGGAGAAAGAGGAAGGAGGGAATGAGACTGTGATGGAGTTAAAAAAAAATAAAAGAGGCAAGAATGAGAAACAGAAGTGTTGAGAGAGAAGTGCACTCCATCACAGTACACAGAAACTAATGAAGGTGCCTGAGGGTCTGAATAACAGGGGAACAAAGCAAGGTCTGTCACTCAAGTCACTACATAGGGTGCAAGTTGTCCTCAGTTATCACTGTGGAAACCCAGTAATTGGTGGTGTTCAAATATGGTGAATAGTGTGTGTGGTTTGGTAATTTTAGTGATACTTATATGGACTAGATGATGGACAGGACATGAGATTTGGGACTAGTCCCCTTTACTGATACTTATAAGGACTACATGGCGGATGGAGCATGTGGTTTGGGACACGTCCCTTTTACTGATACTTATAAGGACTACATGGCGGATGGAGCATGTGGTTTGGGACACGTCCCCTTTACTGATACTTATAAGGACTATATGGCGGATGGAGCATGTGGTTTGGGACATGTCCCCTTTACTGATACTTATAAGGACTACATGGCAGATGGAGCATGTGGTTTG